CCATAATCCCCTATAAAATTGTAAAATCAGAATCAAAAAGCAGATCACATACTTCCAACATATAATGGCACAGGATATACATTACTATTCCAAAACGTAGGGAAGGGAGCATAGTGAGGACATACTGGGCAGGAGCAACACTGAAAACCAGCTGGGCAAACTCCAAATTCTGCATCTCCATATCTGATGTCAAAACACTCTTCAGATCTCCAACTCTGTTCAGCTTTGTTGACTGCAACACACTTCTTTCTCTTGGGCTGGTTTCCTCTCCCTGTTTGCAGCTCTCCTCAGGAGGTATCCCATGGATCTAGCATCTCTAACATCTCGGGGTCTCCAGGGAAATCCAGGCTCCAACTTCACAGCTTCACACATAGCCTCTCATTCAGGGGCATCCGTGACTCATGCATGTCCTTGGCTAAACTTTCTTTAGGCACAGAGGCAAATTCCATAACCCCTTTTTTCTGTCCTTGACTCTAAAGGCAGAACCACATGGCTGAAGCTGCAAAGACCTGCTGCTTGCTGTGGCTGGAACATGGCCCCCTCGTTCAATTACATCTTCACAAGCTTTCTGGTTTGATGGTTTTCTTCACTGCCTAAGCTTGCCTGTTCTGAAACCGGGTCTGTAGACCAGGCTGGCCTCAAACCAGAGAAACATCTGCCTCAGACAGGGGTAAAAAGCAGCTAAGTTCTTCACCAAAATATCACACGACTGGTCTCCAGGTCACATAATAACATTCCTCTCCTCTGAAAACACTTGATCCAGGCACCCACAGCTGAAGTAACACTCAGCACCACTGTCTTCCACGTTCCTACTAGAATCACCCATTAAAAAGTACTTAAAGCGCTAAACTGCTTTTCCAATGCATAGCCACAAGATCCACGATCCTTCAAACAAAAGCATCATCAGACCTATCCCAGCAGTCCCCAAGTCCCTGGTACCAACTTCTGTCTCAGTTGGAGTTCTCTATTGCTGTATAGAGAAACCATGACCTTATGTAGGAAAACATTTAACTGGGTGGCTTACAGTTCAGAGGTTCTGTTCCTTTTCACCCTTGAGGGACATGGCCTTGTGCAGGCAGACCTGGTGCTGACAAGGAGCTGAGGGTTCTACGTTTGGATCTGAAGCTAACAGGAAATGAACTGAAGCAGGAATGGCTTGATCATAGGAGATCTCAAAGCCCTCCCCCACAGTGACACACTTCCTCCCAACACCTACCCCTAATAGAACCACTCCCTAATGAGGTTATGGGGGCCAATGCCTATTGGAATTTTCCCGGGGGCCTGGAGAAGACACTACGTCTGGTGTGGGGTTTCCTGAGGGAAAGGACTATATACACCATGCTCTTTTGTCTGTTTACTTCATTTCTCTTAAGACAAAATTCTATCAATACAGCTTCAGTTCAGTCCTGACATTCAGTTCCTCTCTGCTTATTCTATTTCTGTCCTAATAACTAAGCTCCTGTGCTTTTGATCTCATCTTCGTCCCCTGTTCTTTCGTCTTTCTTCCCTCTTCTCCTCTTCTGACCTGCTTCAGATCCAACTACAGTCTGCAGAACTTTAACTTGCTCCTAACTCCTCTGCCTGAGCCAGTCTCTACAAAAACTCTGCCCTGCTCCTCTCTCCTCCTGCCATGGGACTCTGCTCTGACCAGGAATTCTGCTCAAGTCTTCAGTGCACCTGGTTATTCAAAAAGCCCTGTTTTCCTGAGTCAGTAGCTCTGTAATGCTCCTGGGCCTGAAGGAAGGGGATGGTCTGAGCTTCATTTGCACAAGAGACAAATCTATGCAACTACAGTCCTCTTCCTGTCTCCTAGGCTCTGTAGAGGTGTGACCTAGTAGATCAGCAGTAGGTCTGAACTTACCCTTTCTGCCTTATGGCCTGGTAGTATATGAGCGCACAAGAAATTCATAGCAAGAAACAACTGAATATTAAAAGCTGAATAACACCAGATACTCCCTGATAAATGGCTTCCCTCTAGAAAAATTCCTTGATCTTTCTTGGTATAGCTCTATTATATACAGCTGAATCTCTATAATATGTTCTTGCGGCTTGCAGCAAATGACATTCAAAATACCACGTTGGGCATGTTAATTATGGCAATCAAATGGGGCTTTTTATTGCTGGCCTTTGATATTTTGACAGCTGGGCCTTGATAGTCAGCCTGAGGAGAAGTAAGTAGCTAAATAAGGGAACAGGACTTGGTGGCTAGCCTTAGAAATGGAATCTAATGGGTTTTTTAACAGGTTTGAGGGAATGGGGAGAAGGTCAAGGCCTGCCAGAGCCATGCTCTCTGCACTTGAGCTGGCCAAGAGTCCCTTCAGAAACCACACTGGTCAATTTTCCAGGCAGGTGGATGCCAGTTCAGGGGCCAGGGATTGAGAGGTGCCTGATGTCCTGAGCAGATAGATAGTAGAGGTCTCAGGAGGTTTTATTTCCAGCCCTCTCAAATACAGATCTGTCCTCAGCCTGTGGCCCTAAGAAAAGGTGGCAGCTTGGTTCACCTACCCCTTCCAGGGCCTTCCAGGGAGACAGTCAACCTCAGGACCATGTGGTCAGCGGCCAGAACATGGTCTCTGCTGTAACTATGCTGGCCACCCCTGTAGTATCTTGAAGGCCAGCTGTGGCCCAGGACTGAATTTGAGGCAGGAGGAGCTCTGTGCTAAGTAGGAACTTCCAGGAGCAGGGCCCTTTGTTCTGGGTGTGTTTGGGCTGGAGAAGGCTCTGGAGTCCCAGGTGGATTGCAATTGGGATGTGTTAGATGAGATGCTCCTGGGAAGTGCATGCATGCCACACATCTGGATTTCACCTGTTCCGCAGATAGATAGCCTTTATACACTTCATGTGTCCGTTATGAAGAAATTTAAAGATGCAGCAGAAAAAATCAGCTTACACACAGGAGAAGGATAGCTGTGCCGGGGGTCCCTTCAGTGACCCTGAATCCCAATGCTGTGTAGAGATGGGAGGGAGAAACGCCTATGGGCGTCCTGCATGCTGCAGGGGCTGCCCAACATGGAGCCTAACAGGAAGAATGGCACAAGGAGGAGAATGGAGAACACAAGGAGCTGAGAAGCTGAGTTCAGTGAGACAGGGGCCAAGGGGAAGCCAGTGGCAGTATATTTGGAAGGTAGGGGCCATGATCCTGCTTGTTGTCTGAGAAGTCGTGCTGCCAGGGACAAGTCAGGAGGGGCAGCTAGAGGGATCCATGTATAAGGTGAGAGATTCACGGCTTTGCCAGCTCCAGGGTCTGACCTGAAGAAACAGTGCTGGGAGTAGAGAACAGGGTTAACAAGGCTGCTGTGAACAGGGCAGTGGCGGGGGAGGGGCAGTCAGTGTTTGTGCTGGGCCAGCCTCTGGGGGGAGCCTGTGCTCACTCCCTGGGTGACTGCAGTGTGGTGCACCACCAGTTGGCATCCCAGAAAGCAGGAATCAGACCCCTTGAGGTGACTGGGAGTGGGATGCAGGGGCGGACTGGAGAATGATTGTCAGAACTCCTTCCCCGTGAGATGCCAGGCCCTAAGCAGATGGAACTGGTGTTCTATAAATCCTCCTGGCCCTCCTTATCTAGGAACCCACCACCCTCTACCCTCTGCCCTGAGGGCCCTAAGAACCGGAACTTCCTCCCAGAGGTTCGCTGCCATCTGCAAGACTTTGCCACAGGTGTGGGTGCTTATCCCAAGAAGGCCCAGTTGGTAAGGACAACAGCCCACCCCCCAGGGGACTTCTCTGCTACTCTTCCTGAGCCTTTCCCCACCTAGCAACTGAGTCCCCATGTCCTGCTGAGTAACTCTCCTCTCTTTCCTAGACACCTCTTCCTACCTCCCCTCAGCTCAGCAGACTTCTCTTCCCCCTTCCACCAGGGAGACCCCTTGTCTTCCTCCCAGCAGGGCCCCCATCTCTTACGTGGCTCCCCCTCTACTTTGTAACTCCTTTAGCAGTCTGTGTCTCCTTCTGGGCTCACTGGGCTCCCCAGGCCCCTCCCGGGGTGCTGTTGGTCCCCATCTTTTCCCAACCTCTCCTCTGCAAGGTTTGGTTTTCTCATGTGGGGCTGCCTACCTCTCCACCTGGTCAATTCCCAGAGGATCCCCAATCCTGCTGTGTGATCCAAAGCTGAAAGGCACAGTGTCTCAAAGAAAGTGGCTCCTGGTTGGGGCCAGTGCGGACACTGATCCTGGGGTTCATGGTAGATTCTGGCCCGTTTCCTGTTTTAAGGTCTTGGGTGCTCAGAGCATCAGCTGGCCCAGAATGGAGTGGGTGCAGGAGGTGGGGCATGTGTGCATTGTTCTCTGATTCTTCAGCACATGCGCAGGAGACAAACTGTTTCCCACTGTGCCAGTTCACAGATGGCAATCTCTGCTGTCTTTGCAGGGCTGAGGCTGGGCTGTGCCCTGTTTCCTATGTGGATATGAGCTGTCCAAGCCCCCTCTGTGCCCCCTTACACCTCAATTGTAGTTGTCTTCTTTTTTTTGGGGGGGGGTCAGGAGAAACTGGCTTCGGAGACTGGCTTGACTCCTGAGCAGGTGTACAACTGGTTTGCCAATTATCGTCGGCGTCAGAAGGCTCTTCTCCTGCACGTGCAAAGAGCCCAGGAGGCCACATCAGAAGTCTCCAGTGCAAAGGAGAGTGGCCCTGAGCCGCTGCAGCTCTCAGGATACCATCTCGAGTCTGTGGCTGTGTCCCAGTGGTCAGGTGAGCATCGCAAGGGCTTCTTGGGGGCTGATTTCTGTGGCAAGATCTAGCCGACTGGCAGTTGACCCTGGCATGGCCGTGTTCGTCTGGAGCTGGGGGTGTGGTAGCTGTTAGGAAGGACAATGAGTAGAGTTGGGGAGTGAGTTCATCTCCGCGCCTGGAACAATTTGTTTGCACTGAGGTCACAACAAGGGATAAGAATATTGGGATGACTCAAGACCAATTCTGATGCCAGTCTGTGGAGCTGCTCTCAGCTGGGCAGGAGGTAGACGCTAATGCACTCCTCTCTGCTCTGCTTTGCAGCCAGATCTGAAGGAAGTGGGACTCTACAGCCCTCCGAGACCCCTCAAGGATCTCAGGGGCCACAGGCCCCAGCAGTGGGCTTTTCTGGAGACAACACCACTTCACAGGCACTGGCTTTCAGGTAATGTCATTCCTTCAGGCCATGGCAGGCGTTTCCTCATTAGTCCCCTCCTCCCTTTGAGTGCAGATCAGAGTATATTTGAACCTTAACTGCGGGGCTGCCTGTGCTAGGCCCTGACATAGTGGATTGCTTTTGTTTTCTTTTTTTCTGAGCATGGGTTGGTGTTTTTATTTCATGAGTGAGCAGCACCCTGTATGTACCTCACTGTCTGGGACTCCCCATGCACTCTGCTCCCTTGTGGCAAGGCCTGAGCCTTCTGCATGCAGCCCATTGCTGATTCATCATGGGGCCAGTGCCAGGCTGGACAATACCCGGGAGTGTGACCGCAGGCAGGTTCATGTGAGCTCTTACCCATGCAATGGGGATGAGATAGTGCCTGCCATGCAGGCTAGGGCAGAGGTTGAGAGGATGTTTAACAGAAGCTCTGATCAGGCTTGAGGTCCATTAGCCCTGATGGGATATTCATTAAATTGCTGTCAGCTTCTGCCTAATGTTCCTTTGATGCTAACCATCATTTATTCATTGGATATTAGAGTCTTGTCAATCATTTTCTGTTTTCTGGTTCTATGCTATAGACAATTTTAAGTGTCTGTGACTCCAGGCCTGTCAGAGCCTGCCCCTCGGCAACCTCGCTGAAGAGCAGGCAGGGTGATTAGTGGTAGTGATTTGCAACCTTCCACAGCTTCATTGGCTTCAGCCCATACTGCCAACCTCGCCTGGAGTCCCTGCCTAACACCCGCCCACCTCACCCAGGCCTCTACCATCCCAAGCACACTGTTTGGTTATGTTTTCCAGGTCACTATATGAATGCGAGAGGTACCAGGAGTGGCCAGGTCACCATCCTGCCAGCCTCACATCCATGGACTTCGTCTCTGGCCTCTGCCCTCTGGCTACTGGCAGCAGCATGCTTGATTCCTCTATGGCTGCCCACGATTCTTGGATGATGCCCTTTACACTGTCATCCTCCGAGGAACATTTCCTCTCGATGGAGGAACCGGGCCTTAGACACCAGCTGGACTCTGGGATGGATCCTGAACTTGTCCCCTTAGCCATGGACGTTGCTGCACTCGCGGGTCCCAGCCATGCAGGTGAGTCCACCTCACAGAGACTGTGCTAGTCCTGCAACTACTCAGGTCCTCGGGTGCTCTGTTAGGGTGGCCACCATCTGCTTGAATCTGGAATGTTCAGAGAAACCCAGAACTGCTCTTGTCAGAGCAGATTGTTCCCACAACTATTCCAGAATATTTCTTATTTATGTCTCCTAGGGAAAAAGTGCACATGAATGAAAAACAAGGCGGTTAGGAAAGAGTTAAAATGGGAGGCAGTGCCTGCATGCACATGTCAATACTCCCAACTGTGCTACCTAATCTGTGAGTACCTGTGCAACAGAGGAGGGCAGTCTCCTTAGCCATGCCCCTCCCTGCCCCTCACAGCCCTCCAGGGTACAAATGCCAGGAGTTTGTCTCCAGGTTAGCACTTTTGCATTTGTTTGTCTGTAGGACAACAGAATTATGCAACTTTGCATCTCGCAAGGCCAGTGTGTTTGCCTGCCTGCATTTCTTTTTTTTTAATGTTCATACATATTTTTATTAAGAAATTTTCTATTCATTTTACATACCAACCACAGATTCCCCTGTCCTCCCTCCTCCCGCCCCCAAAGCTTCCCCCACAACCCACCCCTGATTCCCACCTCCTCCAACGCCTACATTTCTTAATATTCTGTGAACATAATGCATCTTTTTATTTCTTGCAGTTTCTAGTTGCCTCTTTTTAAAAAGAAACGTATATTGCCTAATTTTTTTCATGTTCTCAATACCTTCCAGTATTTCAAGCATGTCATTTGAAAACTCACTTCTGGGAGCTTGCTTTCTCCAGTTTCCAGGCAGATGAGCGCTCCCCAGGTCTGGGGTTGAACATGCATCCCAAAGCCTACATACCTCCTCTCCCCCGCCCAGCCCAGTTGGTCCCAATGCTCCTTGCATTTCAGCTCATGTCCTCCCCGCCAGAGCAAGAAGTGACTGATGACATTTCTGCCTGCATGCAGGGCTCATGGAACGTGGACTAGTAATTGGCCAAGGCTATATGCTCTCAAAGCCCACCCATAGGAATACACTTCCTCCAGCAAGCCTCTGCCTCCTAAAGATTCCATAACCCCCCGACCCCCAGCCCTTGCAAAAGCACCACCAAATGGTAAATTCTCAAATACCTGGGCTCTGGGAGACTTTCTCATTTAAAGCACCACAAGGTCCACATATTTACCTCCACCCTCTCTCTTCCTCTCCCTCTCCCTCTGTCTTTCTTCCCCTCCCTCTGTCTTTCTCCCTCCCTCTCCTACTCTCTCTCTAGCGTTCTCCCCCCTCTCTCTCTCTCTAGCTCTCTGTGTGTGTGTGTGTGTGTGTGTGTGTGTGTCTGTGTGTGTATGTGTGTGTGTGTGTGTGTGTGTGTGTGTGTGTGTGTGTGTGTGTGTGTGTGTGTGTTGGGGAGTGTCAACATTGGCCCAGCAGCTTCACTCCCTTTATTAAGAATGGAGTATTTCAAGTTCTTCAGGAATGAGAAGAGAGCAGAAACAGAGGTCGAAGCACATATGACATGGCCAGATGTTTTTAGAATCTTAGATGGTCTTTTAATAAAAAAAAAAAAAAACCCAGAGCCAGATATCAGGGTGAAAGCTGAAAGATCAAAGAAGCAGAACAGCCAGCCACTAGTTCTTACCTCTATGTAAGAAATCCTCAGTCTAAAGAGAGAGTTCTTATTTCCTCATGCCTTATACACCTTTCTCTGCCCTGCCATACTACTTCCTGCGATTAAAGATGTGTGTGCTTCCCAAGAAAAGGCATGAGCTCTCAAGTGCTGGGATTAAAGGTGTGTGACACCACTGCCTGACCTCTAGGTCGAATGTAGTGGCTAGACTCTGTCCTCTGATCCTCAGGCAAGTTTATTAGGGTCTACAATATATCACCACAGTGACAATGAGCTCTTTGAGTTTGGAAGGTCCTGGTCAGCTAGTGGCATTCTGGTGCTCAGGCAGGAGACTAGAGCATGCCTTGCCCCAGGCCTCTTATTCTGGCTTGAGGCCAGCCTCTATTGGTGCTGGCTGTACTACCTCATGGCTTCAGGGCAACCTGAAGCCTGCCTTTCAGGCTTCTCTCCTTCCTGTTGCCCACACAAGGATGACCAAATCCACTAGCTCATCTTTAAGAGTCAAGGATCTAATGCCTTATTCAGCTGCCCTCAAGGAATCTTTTGCCTGCAGCTGATGGGAAGAAATACAAAGACCCACGGCTGTAGGTAGAGTTTTCCTGCCTGGCCCACAGTCAGGACAAATCTCTATCACCTGCCAGTCCCACAGCCGTCAGACCCAACCAAGTAAACACAGAGACTTATATTGGTTACAAACTGTATGGCCGTGGCTGGCTTCTTGCTAACTGTTCTTACAGCTTAAATTAATCCATTTCTATTAATCTATACCTTGCCACATGGCTCGTGGCTTACCGGCATCTTCACATGCTGTTTCTCATCGTGGCAGCTGGCAGTGTCTCTCTGACTCAGCCTTCCACTTCCCAGCTTTATTCTCCTCCTTGTCCCGCCTACACTTCCTGCCTAGCCAATGGCCAATCAGTGTTTTAATTATTGACTAATCAGCAACACATTTGACATACAGAACATCCCACAGCACTTCCCCCCTTTTTTTTTTTAAAAAAAAAGGAAGGTTTTAACCTTAACAAAGTAAAATTACATATAATTTTGGAATTTGGGCGTAGCTTCTCTTACTACTTCCTGCTGGAGAGGGGCGCTGTATCTTATGGGGAAACAAAGAAAATTTTAGGATTATGGAATAGTCCATGAGGCTGTATCGTCTGAGCCAGATGCCTTCAAACCGTTCTGGATGTTGGATCATCTGGGCCATGGTGTCATCGGAGACCTTTCAGGGGGTCTTGGCTGGTCAAACCTGATGTATCTTAATCTGGAGCAAATCCATAGCCTCTGGCTTTCTGTGGAAACAAAAGCAGAGTCTCCTTTCCAAAGTAACATATCCTTATATTCAAATTTTGAAGTCAAGATACCTTTAAAATATACATTTTGGCATAACTCAACAGCTTTTACAATCAAATGTTTTTCTGCAGTAAAAAATCCCAAAGACAACACAATCCAGATTCTCTTTGTAATATCCATTTTTACGTGGCTTATTTTTTATACTACCTTTACTGTCTCTTTAAAGACTTTATTTTTTAAAACTATGTATTTGTTTCTTTAACTCTATATATCACCTTTTTTGTCTCTTTCAAGCCTACGTATCTTTTACACACATTGTAAACTATTACATCTGAATCTGTCTTATTGTGAATCTGTGGCTTTAAACTGCAGCAGCTGTGGCTGCTGGCTCCGCCCACCTCAGCTTCCCAACATGGTTACGTTTACCACCAGCTCTGGGAGCTATCATGGGTCTATGCTTTTATCCAAGCAGCGTACAGCCCAGAAACCTCTTTTTTTTGCTTTGTACCAGCAAAGTCTAAATCCACCATGCAGCTTAATGTGCCACTTGCAGAGGCCTCATTCCCGCCATACTGCAAGTCGAGCACACACTCTAGGAACCCACCAGTAGCTCAAACCAGCAGCTGCCGCTCATTTGAGAGAGACAATTAGGAAGCTGTTTTTAGCTCCATTTTAGAATCTTTTCTCTCAGTTTTTAGGTGGAAACTCTTGCCACCACGTTGGACGCCATTTGTAGGTAGAGTTTTCCTGCCTGGCCCACAGTCAGGACAAATCTCTATCACCTGCCAGTCCCACAGCCGTCAGACCCAACCAAGTAAACACAGAGACTTATATTGGTTACAAACTGTATGGCCGTGGCTGGCTTCTTGCTAACTGTTCTTACAGCTTAAATTAATCCATTTCTATTAATCTATACCTTGCCACATGGCTCGTGGCTTACCGGCATCTTCACATGCTGTTTCTCATCGTGGCAGCTGGCAGTGTCTCTCTGACTCAGTCTTCCACTTCCCAGCTTTATTCTCCTCCTTGTCCCGCCTACACTTCCTGCCTAGCCAATGGCCAATCAGTGTTTTAATTATTGACTAATCAGCAACACATTTGACATACAGAACATCCCACAGCACACGGGCAGACATGACAGAGAGAGAGAACTTGGAACACACAGCTCTAAATAAGATGTCTCTATTAAATCCCTCCCCTCAGAGCTCAGGGAACCTCAGGGAGGAAGAGGATGAAACTATGTAAGAGCCAGAGGCGATGGTGGAATCCAAGAAAACAAGGCCCTCTTCATCAACTGAGCAAAGCTAATAGGAACTCACAGAGACTAAAGCAGCAAGGACAGAGCCTGTGGGTGTGCACCGGGTCCTCAGTGTATATATTACAGCTTTCAGTTTAGTATTTTCATAGGACTCTTGAATCCGTGAACGAGTGGGTCTCTGGCACTGGTGCCTGCTCTTAGGACTCTTTTCCTTCTGTTGGCTTGCCATGTCCAACTTGGATGTGATGGTTCTTGCTTTGTATTATCTTATTGTATTGCGTCACGTTTGGTTGTTATCTCCTAGAAGCCTGTCTATTTCTAGTGAGGGACAGAAAGGGAATGGATTTGGATCGAAGGGGAGATGGGAATCGATGGGGAGGAATGGAGGGAGGGAAAACTGTAAGCAGGATATACTGTGTGAGAAAAGATTCTATTTCCAATGAAGTGGGGGCGGTCAAAGATCTTCCTGGTTGCTCTCTGACCAAGGTGGAGAGAAGGACAAAGGTGAGGGTGAGGTAGTAAAAGCTTTCACATCAAGAAAATCTCAGCGAAACCTGAGATAACTGAAGCAGGCATGTGGCTGAAGCCCGAAGCACAAGTTGCATGTCCTGACCAACTGGGGCTGCCTGCGTGTGACAGATTGAGACTCTGGCATCAGACTGGTGTGAAGCCCACAGTGGCAAAGCCGGGCCTAGTCTTAACAGAAACGGAGTTTCACTTTGGCTCTGGAGGTCTCATAGGTCCTAGAGGTGGTGGATCTGTCCATCCTTTTCTTGAGTGGGAGGCTGAGTCCCAGGGGTGGTGAACTGGTTTGTTTTTTTGTTTTGTGTTTTTGGTTGTTTTTTTTTTTTTACAGTCCACTGTGTCCTGGAGAGAGTGGCTGTACCACCCGTGTGCTGTGTGCCTTCCTTTCACCTGTGGTTTGTGGAATTTCTTTACCTGCAGGATCTACTGGCCTGTGTGGTAGTCACTCTCAGAGCTTATGCCAAGAGGAGAGTCCAGGACCAAGAAGTGGGCAGGCAGCTTCCACTGCAGGCTGTTAAAATTCATCATCCCCATAGGTAAGCCTGAAGAATCCTGGGCTTTCTGTGGATCACAAGGCAGGCTAGGGCATACTTTGCAGACTCACTCTCTCAGAGTTTGTAGTTCCGTATCTTTCCTTATGTGTGTTTCTGGAAACCTTAACACTCCTCAACAAAGGAACACCCCAAACCTTAAAACACCCGTGAGCATCCCACACCTCTCATAGTCTGCAGGCTTGTCAGCGGCCAGATGTCTTTTGGCTTTACAATCCTCTTCATATTTGTTCCATAGACAAAGGCTGTTGGTTTCTTAGAAGCACAATGGTTTTACCTTTTAATGTTCCAAATTGTTGTTTTGAAAGGGCTTGCAAAGGCTAAGAGAGGTCAAGGCGTGGACTGTTAAGATAGACAACCAGGGCTTCTGGGAAGACTGCAGAGACTTGGGTGTATGGTGCAGTAGAGTGTCCTGTGGTAGACAGATAATGCCCAACGTCACAAGGGATTTCAGACACAGAGATGGATACTGTCCAGTGTGGTCCAGGCCTCTGTGATTAAGAGACGATGCCCAAGCTTTTCAAGAGACTGCAGACAGGGGCAGAGTATGGCGTGCTCTGAGGTCTTCTGGTGGAGAAAAGATGTCAAAAATCTCCAAATTGGGGGAGAGCTCCACAAGTTGGAAGTGTTGTCTAGGGTCTTCTGGTGGAGAGGGAATCGCTCCTGCTCATCCTATTTCAGCGGACACCTGTCCTGCCTATACTCAAGGTAACCAAGGCCATGTTTCCAGGTCATGATGGAGCCTTCCTCGTCTCACCCACCAGGTCTGTGATACTCCAGGACTAGGGTTGTGCTTCTGTTCTGTAATGATTAGCTGCATTGCTGAGTGTGGCACTCTGCCTGGGGGTGATAGGAATACATGCCTGCTCACCCCAGGTAGGGAACAGATGACAAATAACCGTAAAATGTCCATCTCGGTGAATGGGTGAGTTGACTGGGGTGTAGGTAAGCAGTTGGCTACACAGCAGGCATGACCAAAGGCGGTTGGGCTTCACCAAAACCCACCCCAGCCTGAGTGATGCCTCAGGAAAGCTGGAACCCTGGAACTCTCTTGCAAGCAATTTGACAAGGGCAGCGTCCTCTCTAGGCAGCTTAGCTCACCAGAGAGGGGGTCTCCTCCAGTGTCCTCTCTAGGCAGCTTAGCTCACCAGGGAGGGAGTCTCCTCCAGGCAGCTTGACTGGTCAGAAGCCCTGCCTTCAGCAATCACTTGCTGCTTATATAACCTCGGGGAGGGACCTTTGTGAATCTTAAAAGTTTCAGCTTGACTAGACGTGCCCTTGTTTCATTCCCGGGTCTCGTCCACCTCCCTCCTCTTTCCTGGAGGGAGTGCTTCAACTCAGAGGAAATGACCCCATAAGAATTCTGTAGGATTCCATGTAAATAGAAACAGATACTGTGCCCTATGATTTGTGGTTTTTTGTTTGTTTGTTTTGGTAAATAACATAAGGTCTTTGTATAAATCTGGCTGCTTCTAAATCCCAGCTGTCCTTCTGCCTGAGCCTGTGGAAGGCTGTGATTGTAGACAGAGGCTCCGTGCGCAGCATTTGGTTTTCCAAGTTTTTAATTTTTTTTTGCTTTGCTCTGTGTCTTGTGCTTAGTGTATCCACTGTGAGATGTGTCCTGCCAGGGCTGGGTTAGTATCAGTGACGCCCTCTCCAGTTGTCCCCTGTGACCTGCTGTATGAGGCTACTGGTGTTAGGATGTTTCCCTCCTGGCTAACTCTGCACAGAGTGCCTTGTCAGAACTAGTCACATTTCCATCAATCTCTCGGAATGGCTGTGATGTACAGATTTAGGACTGTGGGGATCACACCACCCAGGGTCCCCTTAAGCCAGAGCCTGTTCTGATGTCAGAAGTAGAATTGGGAAGGATAGAGCTCTTCACTTTCAGTTCTCTGGAGGTGATGCCAGCCTCATCTGGCATGCCAGCACACGATTCTGTCACAGAGCAGAGCCAGCGCATGCCTTCCAGCCAGGTGATGTCTTACGGGGTTTGCATGATTTCTGCTTAGAGCAAGTGCTTTTGGGTGGCCCATGAGGAGCAGAATGAGTTGTGGGTGTATTTTATGATATTCGCAAGAACTGGGCCAGGGCTATTGGGGGCAGATCCCTCTCCTAAGTCTAGTAAAGGTCTGATGGGGCCAGGAGGCATACAGGTGGGAAGGCAGGTGTCCCAAAGTCTGGCAGAACATGCCTCTATGTGTAACGCTGTGCTGTTTTTTTTTTTTTTCCCCAGGTGCAATGGCCCGGTGGCCAGGCGTCATGGAATGCTTTCTGGAGAGCCATGATGCTCCTTGAGTTTTCTGAGGGCAGCGGGGGTCACACAGCCCATGTGAAGATCGGAACAGCACATGGAATCACCCCGAATAAAAATTGATGCTCCAAGAAATCCCCAAGAGAGTTGGCAAGGAAGCGCCAAAGAGCTTCTTGTCATACCACACTCACTGTTTGAACAGTTTGGATGGTAATTCTCTATCTTGGCAAAGTTTTTGAGAAATGTTTGTGGTATCATAAGTCTAATGTGGGTCTGCTCCAGGCAGACAGTGATCAAAGTTGAGTTTAGCCCCCCTCCCCCCACTCCCCTTCCCGGCACGAGCTGGGAAGGAGAACTCACTAGATCACAGAAGGATGGCTCACTAGATCACAGAAGATTGTTCCACTGTTGAGCCTTCCTATCCCCTTGTACACAGAGCCTCCTTCTTCCACTCATTATGTTTGTGAGTGAGTATGGAGAGTGATAAGCCATCCCTTTGTTCGTGGGACCCATCCTCCTAGAATGTTGACTAGCAAAGTGTTGACTGGAGATGGCCAGATAGGGTACAGCAGACTGTGTTTCCTTGCCCCCCAGCATTTGTTTCAGAAAGAAAGGTTTATTAAACTAAATTCATGCTTTTGTATCAAACTTCACACTGCCCCGACATACGTTTGTATGGATGCAAGGAGATTAACACACCAGCTCTGTGGTCCCAGAGCAGAATTCACAGTGGGGAGGTGGCAACTGCTCCCTAACCACCCTCTCCTCCAAATGGGACTGTTTTCCTCAGCTAGTTCATAAGCACCATTTGGTGGGCGTCCCTCTCCTCTGTCCTTTGTTCCTTTGGCTTCGGTTGTTTATTTCTTCTTTGTAAATTCCTGGAAGGTGCATTCCTTGGTGAGTTGCGACTATCTGTGTGATTTGCTGTGGATTCTGGGCATCTGATAACCCTCTTCTCACCTGCATGCTCAGGTGTCTGTTGCAGAGTGGAAGCCATGTATGGGCCAGAGGAGCTTATGAATGCGACCTGAACTTTGGCTCCACGTCCTAATGTCAGTCCTTCTCAACTGGGCACTAGGCAATCCCCAGTTCTGGAAGGGGAGGCAGGCCCTGACAATGGCCTATCAGAAGCCCAAGTCAGAGGATCTGTTGCCAGTAACCACTTGTCTGATGGCCACAGCAGGAATGGGTCTGTAGACCCCCCCTACCGGCCTGACTCCACTAGATGCAGGGGCATGTAGGGGGCAGTGACCTGTGTGCCACAGGAGGCTCCCCCTGTCCTCGGCCTAGGACTTTTGCTTTGTGCATCAGGCTATGATCCCCAGTGTGTTTGTTCCTCTTCCTGTGGCCTTACACGATGTCCTCTCAGGGCATTCTCATGGCAGTTCCAGCACTGCCACACATTGCTTGGCCCGAGCTGCTCTCTCAAAACATGGAGCAGGCCTTCTGAATCCCTAATCTTGCATCTTCCATGCTTGCAGAACCAACATCACACAGAGATGATGCTGAGTTCTGCTGCCAACTCCCCTGGACCATGGGAGCATCAGCTTCTGTGTCCTGGCCCTGGGGAAACACTTCCCTGGGCAGTTGACTTAGAGTATCAGGGAATCCTTAGGTTTCAGTTTTCTTCTTTCAAATGCATTTGGACCATCACAGGGTGGAGCCTCCAGTGGGTTGCCCTCAGAATAATGTCCCAGCACAACACAGGAGGTTTCTCTTTAGTGATGTTGATCCCTGACAATTGCAGCTGGTTTCTCAGCACCAGCCTGATGCCTTTCCATCTTGACATTTTCTCTATCAGACTAATGATCCGATTACATTCAACTTCGGATTCACTCAGGTACTCAGGGCACAAGCCAAGGAAAGAAGATTCTTTTCCAAACTTTCCCATGAATGGTGTTTGTCCTATCATTGTCGAAAGAATTCTTGTTTCCTCTGAAACTTTGAGCAATGTTGAGGCAGGCAAGCACAGGGAAGAGTTCAGTGACCTAAGACTCTTTTACACACACACACACACACACACACAAACACACACACACACACACACACACACACACACAGTTATCATATTTCACTGACAGCCTCAGAACCTTAGCTGCATGTACTCTGAACACATACCAAGCAACCTAGTAACCTGGGATCCTCACCTGCACTGAGCTACACATGGACCCTTCTGAACAGTGGAATATACTTCTTCCCTAACAAACATTAAACTTGCACGTGTTCCACTCAGACACATTCCAACTTATGTCTGGGTGCAGGGTTAAGGAGCGGCCATCCAACTTGAATTGGTTTGGATTCATGTGTGGTAAGACAAGTTTCCTCAAGAAAACTGTGAGGGAGAATATCTTATATACCCCTGCTCTAGCTAGGGTTACTAGTGCTTTGATGAAAAACCATGACCATAGCAACTGAAGAAGGAAAGGGATCATTTGGCTGTTGCTTCACAAGCCAGGACAGGGATCCCGAGTAGCCTTTTCTCCAGTCTGGCACTTCCATTTTGTTCGGTCTCAGAACCTTTCTGGAGAGATCCTGGGCCCAAAGGGAAGTTGAAAGGGTCCTGGGCTGAGGGTTGGACCGACCATCCAAGGCTCTGTGTCCAATCCATGCTGCCAAATGCCCCCTGACCACTGCCCCCGTATCTCTCTGGGTACCACACTGAGCGTCAACCCGTGGGGACATGGATTGTCACTGGAGTTGGGGAAGCCACAGACTGGCCATTCAGACTCATTCTAGCACAACTCTGCATGAAGTATGTGTACACACACACACACACACACACACACACACACACACACACACTTATAAGTTTCCTTTTGTTTTTAAAGAGGGGGAAGAAAGCATTTGTGTTTTCCTCCTGAGCATTGTAGACCCACACTAGCTGTCCCTTACTGGCTCAACAACTCTGGGGACTGCTCTGTGAGTGCTGTAGCTGCTGGGGAGGAGCAGAAAGCAAATGACTGTATAAACAGTCTGAACTGTACAAATAGGGTTTTTCTCTCAAAGGAGTGGATCTGGATGATAGGTGTTGATGACCGTTCTGGGGGCTCCAGGAAAATACTGTAAGCTCCGTGAAAGTGCTCCTGGCTGCTGTGTGGAAGGGTGACTCAGAGGATGATGTCCATGTAGCCAGCACACTGGGGACAGAGGAATCCTGGATCATCAGGGAGTGAGGGAACAAAGGGACTTTTTTTCACTCAATCATTCTCATGCAGGGCCTCCCGGGCCCCTCCCACTATCATAGCCCCATACAGCTGAGTCCTAAGAATGGGGCTGCATGTGGACTTCAGAGGCACAGGGGAAGCCCTGCCAACTTTTGGGGTTGGGATCCACTTCCTGGGTTCTAGCTTTCCCTGTCCCAGGCCTGCTTGGTGTTTTGGAAGCAGGTGACACCTCCTTGCATGGAGCTGAGGCTAAGGAGATGCACCTGGCTCTTATACTGGGAAGGGTTTAGGAAAGGGCTGAGGTGAGGCTGCTGGAACCTCCTGGCAGTTTCCCTCTTTGCCTCCCCTCCCTTTCCTCATCTCAGGGAGCTTCGGGTATACAGGGAGGTGGGACGGTAAAATCCAGGAGTGGCCACAAGGGCCACAGTTCCCCAAGGCCTATTGAACTGGAGGAATCAGGAGTGAGATGAAAAAAGTGGACCCTGTCTCCTTTTCCTTCCTCCGCACAGAGCCTCCTGAGGGTGAGCTTTGCCTTAGCATCCATGGGGTGCTGACATGGTCTGTATATGCCCAGCAGTGTGGATACTGTAAAATGATCATCAGGGCCCAGTCTGCATCACGGGAGGATCCACTGAGGAGGGGACTAAGGAACAGACAGTTGGAGATGGGAAGCACAGAGCTAGGAGGCTGGGGGTGCTCAGGCGCATGGCTCAAAATTGGAGTAAGAGAATGGATCTGTTGTTCCAGATGTGCTGGACCGTCTGTGAGGTTAGGGCCATAGCTGGTCCCCAGGACATTGCCAGTATAACAGCAACTCTAGCCACCAGGACCTCCTGCCCTAAGAGAAAAGGGGTGTCCTGCAGCACCCATCTTCTCCCTCTTTGTGCAGATGTGCTCTCCTTTGGGCCCTGGGGTGGCAGAGCACAGTGTTTGCATGGAAACTCATGTCATGGTAGGGGTAGTTCTAGGATTCCAGGGCTCCCACTCCAGGCTCAGTTCGCTGTGGAGAAGACTGTGTGAGGGAGGGCTCTCCGTGCTTGGGACTGGGTAACATAGACGAGTCAGACAGATCTTTGCGCTGCCATGGAGAGGAGTGGTGGATTGATTTCTTCCGGGTGGGGCAGGCAGGCTTTAGCTTCTTCCTGTCATCTCTTCCGGTAAACCTGCCCTCCTGTCTCCATAACATGCTGAAACCCTCTCTGAGGCAAGGACTATCTTTGAAGCCCAGGCTGGCTTTGAATGGGTAACGATCCTCCTGCCTCAGCCTGTGGAATGTTGAGATTATGTCACCACACAACACCCGTCCAACTTGGCCCCAGTTGCAGGCCAGCAGGCATGGCTCCTGCAGGAAGGCTCCCCCTTCACCAAGACCCCTCAGCAGACCCTGCAATCTATACACCCTGCCCCCATACCCATCTGCCCGAGAGACCCCAGCCACTTCCTGAGGCTTGGAAACCAACCCCAAGCTCTCATCGGGCCTAGAGAGAGAGCTCTCATGGACAAAGAGCTGTCATTAGACCAAGAGTAACCTCAGCAGACTTGGAATCTGACAGCCCTCATTAGACCGAGAGTGGCTTTCTGAGAAGTAGAATCTGCCACCTCTCATTGAACCATGAGAGGCTTCCCAAAACACAGAATCTATCAACTCTGACTGGACCAAGAGCCCTGATAAGACCAAGAACAGATCCGTGAGTCACAGAATCAGCTAGCTTGGGTTGACCCAAGAGCAGCTCTCTGAGACACAGAATCTACCTGCTTCAATTAGACTAAGAGCTAGGATTAGACCCAGAAGGGCCCCCTGAGACACAGACACCACAAGCACAGAGTGGACCACTAGCAACTCGCTCAGACACAGGCACCTCTTATACATATTAGACGAGGAGATGGGCAGACTTCAAGGCAGAAGTACATACAACAGCATAAAGAGCAATACAGCATCACCAGAACCTAGCCCTCCTCCAACAGCAAGACCTGAACATCACAAGGTAGAAGAAGCAGAAGAACGGCATCATGAAGATGCTAGAGACCTTTCAAGAAAAACTGAAAAATGAAATTGAAGAAAAGACAAACAAAAAAGTGGAAGAAATCAAGAAAGAAATGGAGAAAAAGTCAAACAAAAACTGGAAGAAATCTATAAAGAAATAGAGGAAAAGACAAATAAAAACTGGAAGAAAGCAATAAATCCCTTAAAGAAAACACATTGAAACAGGTGAGGGAAACAGTTGAAGACCTGAAAAGGGAGAGAGAGATAATGAAGAAGACATAAACAGAGGGAATGCTGGAAGTAGAAAATCTGAGTAAACGAACAGGAAACACAGATGCAAGCATAACTAACAGAATACAAGAGATGGAAGAGAGGATCTCTGGTGTAGAGGATACAGTAGAGGAAATGGATTTGTCATTCAAAGAAAATACTAAAGCCCA